AAATTTAAAAATTGTTTAAAGTGCTTGCCCATGAACAATTCCAGCCCATGATTGCTCAGTGCATTCACCTTACACGTAATTTTTGGAAAATATATGTAAATTTAAAAGTTTAATAGTAATTAAAACTAAAAATATTCAGTTAAGTTATTCACAAGTTATGTTTAAATTTGTTTTCACACCGCAAATTTTCTTATCCATAATCAAAAAATGTCACGCAGTGAATATGTGCGTATATGTACATATGTATATGTATGTATATATTGTATGAAAATTTGAATTCCGTTACTGAGAGGAACTTTGAATTTTATTCCACACTCGCATGAAAACTAAATTTAAAAAAGAAAACTTATTTTTCGCTAATAGCCTGTTGAAAAAATGTGTATTTCTAAATTGCGGAACCACTGAATTCAGTTGTCGTCGTTGACAGCTAAAAAGAAAGAAAAATAACTTTAAATTAAAGTTTTAACGAAAAATCGTATGTATTTAGAACATCATTAAGAATATATTTTAAATGTTTCCAACAGCAAGTCGGTGGCTGAGAAAATACGTCGCCAGAAACAATAGGCCGAGTGCGACACTTGAGCGAATCCATGAAAAAGGTTAAGCGCCACTCAAGCAACGACTGGCTCGCGCACTCAAGTCGAGGCTCAAGTGTCAACTCTTCACTACTGTCATTCTTCATAATTCCCTTTTGCCAACAGTTACAAACTTTTACACACAAGCAAGCATAATAACATTCATGCATGCATGCATGTACATATATACATAAATATGTACTGTCTACTCGTTCTTTGCGAGAAAATATGTATGTATGTATGTTTCTGGCTCTCCGCTAAAAGCTTGATATCTAGATATTTCTATAAAAAATCCAAATCTTTCTATATTTGCAGTGCATATTTGTATGTATTGTTGTTACGCTGTTACTACCAAGAAGTATTTGCTCATTATGTGCATAAAGCCGGAAGACATTTATTTTCTTTCCATTCTACGCGAAGTGTCCTTCACAATGGGACACTGTAACTACATTTGCACCAAATATATCCATACATACCTATCTTTGTATGCTTTTGTGCGTATATGCATTTTTAGTTAGCCACCTGCTACTCGCCTCCGTTTACTGGGGCATACATGTCGTATACGTACCTAATTCATACGTCGCATCTTCCGCTTCCGCCGGCATTGCATTAACAGCTCGCTTGCCACGCACACCCAGCAGCGGCATTAAGGACATATTGTTCATATAGTACCGCTGGTTTGTATCATCGGAGAAAGTGCTGCTATCACCGCCGTTCAAATTGGACTTCTTGCCACGTACTGCCACAAATTTATTGCCAAAATCGACGAAACGTTGAGACTTGCCGCGCCGGTTGACAGACTGCGTGAACGGATTGAAAAAATTCAAACGAAGAAAGTAAAATTAATTAGTGACCGATATACTTAAGAAGGATGAAATTAGATTAAAAATTGCTGATAGCAAAATGGTATATGTATTTGGAGTGCTACCTAAGTCAGGGATCAAAAAACCAGATTTAAAGAAGTTTGAATGGTTCGGATTTAAAGAAACTGTATATTCGTAATATTTTTTTTCTGGCTAAATTTTGTTTGTTACATTTCTATAAAATTACCGTTCAAGCTTTTCCCAAAAACATTTAAATCACAGTTTTAGACTTTATACAAAATTTAAGAAAGTTCAACAAATTTTCATCAATACTTAAACTTTTTAATGTGAATCTTTAGAAGAATTTTGGGTATGCCGTTTTATAGCTAATATAATTTTAGTTTAATGAAGTGCAAGTTACAAACGGCTAAAAAGTTGCATTCATTTTTGAGAAATTTTTTTTTGGATGCTTTTTTTCGGTTTTTTTTGTAATATAACAAGCGCAGTTTACAAAAATTTGCGTTAATATTTGGAAATTTTGTTGCTGACGGTCTTCCGCGTTTTATTTCATAAGGAATTCATACTAATATGAAAAAAGTGCAAAAATCTGTCAACAAAAAAAAAATCCTCAAAAATCAACGCGATTTTTAAGCGATTTGAAACTTGCACTTCATGACACTAAAATTATATGGGCTATTAAACTGCATACCAAAAAAATTTCAAAAAATTCAGAATAAAATAAAATTAGCTCCAAAAACATTACGAATATTTAAAGAAAATCAACACGTGGTAACTTGTTTGATTCACTGTATGTATGTAATTAAATTCAGCATTGTTTTGAGTTGAATCGACGCTGAGTGCTTGAGTACTGATGACTAAAAGCAAGCTTTGATTGATGGGATCACCTCGGTACGGTTTTACCTCACTCTGGGGAATGGGATAAGCAACATCCTGTTTGGTTGGTTTTAATGATTCCCAGAAACTGTGTAGCATTAAATTAGTGCATTTGTGTGCCATTTTGATGCACCTCTCGCAGAGGATATTTTGGCAATGTACATTAAGGCGTATCACGAAAAAAAGTTTAGCGTGTGTCAATTTTATTTGAATAATTATTTCGCGAAAAAATTTTGGGTGTGGGAAATTTTTTTACGCCCCTGAGAAAAACCGCAAAATCGCGTTTTTTGCTATAACTTTCTTATTTGTCATCGGATTTCTTTAATTTTTATGTGACTGACATACAAATTTAAAAAATCGTATGGCAAATAAGAAAGTTATAACAAGAAACGCGATTTAGCGGCTTGAATTTGGTAACCGGATGACTATCAGCATAATTGTATTTTTGCTTGTATTTTTATGTTGCCTAAGTCTCTACAGGCTTATTTATACCTAAAATATGCTTGTGTTCTTTCCCAATCGTAGAGACAACGCAACACCAAGTTCTTCAGCGTAGACAACCGCTGTCATACATTTTGGTTCCGTCGGTGTATAGAGAGATAGCGTTCTCTTCCCCATTCTTTTCTGGAATATCATTTGCACGTTACACATAAAATTTGAATTGTCTACCATATAGTCTGTCGTCTGAGGTCTGTCGAATTGGTTTGATGGCATAAACTACTAAACTACCGATCCATGAATATTTTAAGAGCAAATTTTCTCCAAACAGCCTAAATATTATTCCATAAACTATGTTTGTGTGCAAGTTAAAACTAAAATCTTACTCACATCTACTGGTGATCTCTTGAAGGCCTGATGATCTACATCCTTTTTTCCACGCACACCCACAAACGCATTTACCGGGCCCCGCTTCGCATCCAACATTGGCAACGGCAATGTACCATCTTCATCATTATACAAATAGTCTAAAACACCAGCAGCTGGTCGCTTGCCACGTACTCCTGTGAAACCGATTGGTGCGCGCTTAGTCACATCATTTGCTGGTAATACCTTACGATTTAACAAATTATTTATAAAATCCTCGATCAGCGCTTCACGCAAATGCTCCTCCTCAAGGTGTTGCAACAGCGAATCAATGCGGCTAAAATCACTGTCAGCATATTTCTTGCCACGCACGCCATAAAAAGTACTTGGTGCTTTCTTGAAGCGCGGCTCCATTGCCAGCACACGATCATAGGCAGTATTTTGCTCATTTTCGTAAGCGGCTTGTTGCAATGGTTCAATGTTCCAATCGGCAGTACCATCGCCATTTAGTGCCGGATTGTTGGCATTGCTGTAATCGGTAAATTCATACTCCTTCTTGCCGCGCATTCCAATGAAGCCGTTCGGTGTTCGCTTAACGATGTTCAGTGAACGTAACGAATTTCTGAATGGCAAAGTGAGTAGAAATAGTGGGAGAATAAAAATAGAAAAGTAATAACTCACCCCCATGCAAACAGTTACATAAGTATGTACTTATTTAATTTTAATATTTGTATACCAAATGGCGTGTACTACAAATATAAATTGAAAAAAAAAAATGTTATATTCCTTAAACCAGTACAAAGCGTTTCATTCCCAAAAGTCAAAGCTCAAAAGTCTGAATATGAGTAGGTACATTATATAACCATTCGACCATGATCCGCCATTGATGACTCGTTCCCCTGAGCATAAGTACAAAATCCAGCTAACTTCGTTGGTTGATTCCTAAAATATCATCGCTTACAACCTAACCAGTGGAACTAGGGACCCACAAAAATGTCATTATCAAGCTAGACGTTAAGGATCTCGTTAAAGAAAATTTGTAGTTTTCGCGATCCTCTAATGTGGACGAAGTCAAAAACCTGCTAGAAGATACCTCCAATGACACCTCCCCATATTCTCGTCGAGAGGCATAACACCAAGCTCTGCAAGCTAATTATTTTGGTTCATATTATCCGTGTAAATATTTTTCGGAAGGATAGTTTCCACACAGACACCTCAGGAGCGTGGTAATTAGGTGAGAGCTATATATCAAAACCTTGGCCTCTCACGCATCAACAATGAATTTCAGAGTAAACGGTGGCTAATGGCTTATTTGATATCGACGGCAAAGCTTAGCATTGTGCTCGCAGCAATAAAAGATAAAGAAGCCGCTTCGCTGCCGCAGATAGGATAAGCGGGTTGGTGTGGGTTTTAAGTTAGCATACAGAAATCAGCACTCCGGAAATCTAAAGTTCATTCTGACCCGAACTGTACACTGCATACCAATGCTGGGATTGAGTGGATGTTTCACCATGGACATCGTATCCTGCGAGTAAGTATTGGGCCGATTTTAGAGTCTGGAACCCTGTCGCTGTTAACTTATTCACGGATGGATGGAAGGTACGTATATATGTACCTGATAGCAACGCTTCACACACCTCAAATATAGGCTGCCTGATCATCTGGGAGGGCTTGAATTGGTTCAGATTACTTCAATATCAAATATATTTAGGCATTTATGGTTTGAGTCTCCTTCCATAGATACAACATTTTCTTACATGACCTTCCCGTTGGTTCGAATTTATAAAAGCAGCGCCTTTTCTAAGCCTACTGCGATGTGAACTCACTGACAAAACTGGAAGAATTCGCCGCTCTGAATTGTTTAAGAATTAGGGAAATCTAAAACTTACCATATACCAAAAGGGGAAGAAAAAATTAATTTTCAAATTAACAGTGATACAAGTGACTGAGCTAGCTACTTATATATTTATTTATGAACTTTTCATGGCTGTTGCGGTCAGACTTCATTACTGAATAATTATTTACAAACATTATTAACTCAATTAAGTAAACAAGCCTTTGATTTTCTTCCCAAAATATATACACTCATTAATTCATACGCGTACAATTTCAAATTTCCTTACCCGATGTTAAATGGCAAATTATGTCTGTCCTTATCAATGCCCGCAATGTTGTTTTCATTGTTATAGTTGTCCACTGGTAAGAGTGTTGTTGTGTCGCCCAGCGCTGAGCTATCCAGCTTATTCCGTTCATTTATGTCCTTTTAATTGTTGAGTGGTTGAAAGACGGGGAAAAATAAATGCAAGCAATTTAAGGAAATTAAAAATTTGAGCAAGTAATTTGGTGTCAATTAAGTCACGTTTGGTTAATGTGAAAATATGTTTTGGGTCATATGAAAAGTCTCCCCGGATTTTTGGGTATATTTTTGGAAAAGTTTTATTTATTGAAAATCAAATTTTATCAAGAATATATCGGCTGTTATTATCAATGACCGAAACAAATGGATGTCAGACGGTGAAAACTCCGGGTTATACTATGGATCTATTAAAACTTCCCAACCAAGTGCTGTCATTTAGTTCAGAGTGATCAAATATGTGAGTGGCCTGTCATTGTCATGATATCCTTTCCTATTGGACCAGATTAATCGTTTCACAGAAGAGTATTTGTAATTTTGTATATTTTTCAATTTATTTTTATTTTGAGAATTTTTAGAAAAAAAACTTCACAGGTTCATTTCTTCGCAACAATGGCATATTAAGTGGACTTAAACTCAATGGATTATAAAATCTCTTTAATTTTAAGATATTTGCCAAAATATTAACATCTACGTGAGCTAGATCGATTTGAAAATATCTCACAAAATCTCATTATTATCATTGTGTCGATGAAATTAAAAAAAAGTCTATGCAGACCTCGTGAATTTAAACCTTTCTATCATCTAAGGCGATTTTTGAAAACTAATTTTATTTTCTACTTAGTTTATTGAGGAATTTTCAAATAGGTCCATAGACAAAAGCCTACACCAATGTATAGGGACGATGCTCAAGTTTCCGCATTTTACCAAGGCGAGGTGAAAACAGCTACATATAATTAGGCCAAAAGAAACAAAATTTCGGAGTCGTTTGTATACCGGCTGTTGAAAGCTGACGGCGAATAGCCGTTTCGGGCATAGCGGAGAACGAGGACAAGGTAACATAAAAACAGTCATTGGGTATTGAGACACACGTTACTGTTGGCAATTAAAAGCTCAATTAGTCTAGACTTCATTTGCGTAATTTAACTTAATATTTTGGCCAATCTGTTATATGAGAAACTGTGCTGGCGATTAGTTAAAACTTAACTTACAGTAAGCAACTTAAGCACCTGTAGATTTAAGATCCTTAAGATACGGCTTTACAAAAATTGAAGGCTTGAATTTTTTGAAGTGGCATTTTAGGCTCAAACAGCTGTATTTTACAAAAATAAAATATTTCCGCTACTGGCTTAAGTTGACGTGTTGAGTAATCGTTGATGATTTCTTACGGTAAGTTAAATTAAGTTAAGTCTAGACTAACTGAGCTTTAAGACCTCAAAGTATTCGTTCCCACGACAGTCTACGTAACCGGAACGACCCAGATTTATATCTGGCCAAGGACTGTCACTCCAGCAACACTCCCCAAAAAGTCTTTGGGGAATTTGTATGCTGCTACAACAACAACAACCTCAAAGTATTTCAGTTATTTCAGTTCGGAGATGAAGCGTAAAAAACTCTTGTCAACAAGTGCTGCTTTGGGCTCCGTAGGCTATTGAAAACCAGAGCCTTCTCTCGGCGAACAAAACTCACGTTATACATATATCTGGCGGTGAAACGAAAGCCAGGGTGTCCATCAAAACGATAGAAGCACAGAGTCTAGAAGTGCCTGTCAGCACTCGAAATAAAAAACTGGCGTAATTTCACATAAAAGGGCGAAAAAGGCTGTAGTGCCAACTAAGAAAAAGCGAAGAAAAAAACTGGTTACTACAAACCGAATAAATCTTAGGGGAGACCCTTTTGCATGAATTTATACAAACACATTTTTTAGCAAGTGTCCTAAATTTATAACTAATTTCAACTATTGCAGCCGCTCAACTATCATATAAAAAGGTTATTTTATTACCAAGGTAAAACTTTGTGTAATAACTACTAATATAACGGTAAAACTTCCTTTTTGTCTCGCTGCGTCTTTGCTTATGCTTAACTCATAAATTTAGTTTTTGCATAGCGTCGTTGTTGTTATTATTAGGCGGTGTATCTTGTGATCAACTTACCGCATACATCGGCGCCTCACTTCCGGTGCTACTTGCTGCTGCTACCGAATCCAAAAATAAAAACAAAAGCAACATCTTACAGCAACGCACGGTAGTATGATTCAGTATTTGCACAGCCATTTGAAGAGCGGAGTTTTAGGGAAAGTTCCGAGGTGATGGGAGAGTTGTCTGCAAGGAAAAAGATGCATGTAAATGATATTAAGTGTTTCCATATAGGGACTATGTACATAAATAGGTTTGCATATTTTGCAGGTATCTATGATTCAGAGAATTTTGGCCAAACGTAGTTGGTTAACGAATAATTGAGACAAATTTTATTTGAGTATCTAAAATTTATTTTTCGTCAGAAAAAGTCATGATTCAAGACGAAGTCCTCAATAACACAAAAGAGTTTTGCAGTCCCCTTGAATTGTACGACTTGCCATCAGTAATGTAGTTTAGTGTTGAAGATCGACTCGGTGATCATCATGCGCAACGTCAACCAATCCCTGGACGGCTTATGCCATTATCGCCATTCGGCAGTAGGAATCATTAATATAAGCTAATAATGCTCTGGATTTTGTTTTAAATCCTCCGCATACTAAATTCATTCGGTATTTTGAATGCTTTAACTTGTAACACTTAAACATTGTGGGTAAGCCAAGTGTAGCTATAAGGTTGCGAAAATTATTTATCTGGAGAGCGAATAACTGTTGTCACACCTCAATTATGAATGGGCTTCTACGATAAAGCGTATAAAATAAAATTCCCTAGCAGAAAGCAATGAACCCAGGACGTACCGGGACCTTCTGACTCCATTCGGTTCTATACTGACCGATCCAAAATTGAAAACAATGTAGGAGCAATAGTGTATTTGGAATAACTATGAGCTGCTTCCTAGCTGAACTTTCAGCTATACAGGTATGTATCTGTCAAATGTTTGCAGACAAGGGCAATCTGACACTAATTGTAATATCTATGTATATTTTCTCAGAGATTCAGGCAGCTCTTATAGTCAGGGTACGAAAATAAACTGTACAAAACAATTCCCATTTGCTCATCGATTATCATATCATTTGTGGTTTTGTACAGTTTTGTACATAGTCAGAAACAAATTGTAAGATTCACTCCCATTTTCCCCAACGAGAAACGTTTGCTTTTCGTTTGTGACAATTGTACCATAGGGTAGGTTTTATATGTACGCAAACGTTTCAATTACTTGAAAAATATTTTTTTCTGTCAATTTTCATATCCAATTCAAGGCGAATTTATATGAGGTGGTGTTGTTTAATCAGCTGTGTGTAGTGTTTGATTGTCAAAATTTTATATTTTGCTAGTGAGTGAGTGAAAACGTGAGAGTGTTTGCATTTTCTGTCGCCCTTCTTCATTCGGAGAAGAATAGCTGAAATTTGACAATCACCAGCTAAAAGCAAAAACAAAATACAAGTAATTGTTGTATTTGTTGAATCGATACCACCTTATATGAATTCGCCTTGATCCAATTCAATTAAAAAACATGTACTACATACATACATATATTTTTCTCTGCACGATTCATTTCGTTTGTTGTTTCGTCTGTAACTACTAAACTCTGGTAGTGTACTATCGCAAAGTGAACTCAGCCGTTTTGTTTTCGTATTTTACCGAACTGTTGAAGTAATAAGCGAAACGAAATAGTAACGTACAATATAGTTTATTTTCGTACACTGCTTATAGTTCCACATTGTGTCAAAAGTAATTCCGGAATTGCGGGCAGAGCAATTTACTCTTTAATAGGTTTGGGTGCCGGGACACAAAGTATTAATTAGATGGCGGACGAGCAGGTATGAAAGGGCACTTAACTTCCACTTTCGCCGTCTTGGAAGTGGTTTGGCATGGCGCACGCCACCTGAATCTTTGGACACCTGATCAATATAGCGGGCATAAAGGTAAGGCTATCGCTCATATTTGCCAACTCTATATGATGGGAAGGGTGTGATATTATATGGGGCATCATAACGGATCCGATTGAGGGGTCTAAATGTGCTGGCGTATTCACCAGCAGCCGTTTAAAAACTTCAAAATTCATACCACATTTCTTCTGCTTGAAGCAGCGTTTCTTAAATTTTCCACCTCAATAGGTACTTCTATGTATTGTCTATGTGTATATATACATATATGTACATATGTATGTATGCATAAGCGTATATGCTATTTAAAAACACACTCATGCATACATTTAAATAAGTGTAAGTTTGTAGATGAATTGTATGGATGTTCCTAAAGTAAAAATTTTATTTTCCGCTAATTCATTCATGTTTTTACAAAGTTTTGTGAAAGCCATTTGCTTAGAAATTAGGCACTAAGTACTTGTAGATGTGCATACGGTTATAACAATATAAATGTACATACATACATATGTATGTATGCATACATATATGTATGTATGTATGTATAAACGTATGTTTTTAAAAATACTTTCTTCTTCACATTCATATTCAGAGCCATGCGTATGAGTCTAATAGAATATTTATGCTCCGCCTTGGGCTATGTACGAATATGGACGAATAAATATATTGACCTTTCAACGCCAACATGCACAGAATAATTTGCATAAGTATGTACATACGCATATATTTACATACATGTAGTAAGTATAAGGATAACCACAGTGGCAAGGATGCGAAGCCAATCGAACTTATGGAGTGTGGTACTAAGCAAATAAAAGCTGATTTTGCCTGCATACACAATGAAGTTGAACGGAAAGAGTGTAGATTCAATGCATGTAAAACATTCCTGTAAGTGAACGAGGCGTGAGAAAAAAGAAAATGTAATAGATATTTCTACATACATACTTACTTTCAAACATATATATATATATACATAATATGTTAATACTCGTAAAAGTAAAAATTAAGACATCGTGCGAAGCAGAAAAAATTTACTGAAGGAAAGAGTACACAGCGTAGTAGTCATTTGTTATTAAAAAAAACTTGCCCAGCTGTCTGCTTCTGCATGACATTGTAACCAATTTTAGATTAAAACTCATACTTCATGCATTATATTCGGACCACTTTTACTACAATTCACTTATTTTCAGGGACCGTAACAGTTATAAGCGATATGGAAAAATCATCAAACTTGTTGAGTTTTATTTTTCTTTCAAATAAATAACACTTATGAAATTAGTTTGGTTCAGAAATATAACTTACGCGGTGAGTTTTATTTATCGTTCAAAACTAATTGTTATTTAATAAATTTTACTCCTAAATCACTGACCTTAGTTTTCAGTTTTAAAGCTATTTTAGTCCTCTTTCATTTGATACCAAACTTGTTTAATTTGAATAAGCCGTTTGTTTATTATCCGGAAAGGGTTTTTATTTTGGACTTAAAAAGTATTTTGCCAAATTTAACTCTTAAAAAACACAGCTGTAATTTTCGGTCTTGGAATAAATTTCCAAACACCAGAGCAAGGGAGAAAACACACCGCACTCAGGACCTTCTGCCTGAATCCGAATGACCATCTGCGCGAGCATTGAACGAATCCAACTTATCAGTGCTGAATCCATTCCATAACTTAGAGCTTAGTTGCACACCTTAAGCAATCATAGAATAATAATTTTTTGGTGACAGTAAATGACATCTTTAAAAACGCATATGTACGTGCATGGAAAATCGGATACAAATAAGCGAAAATGCAAACTGTCCTTTTTCCAAATTCAAGCACAATTCATTTGCAAGTAAAACATAAAATCTAAATATCCGCAAGCGATCACTAACAACAATTCTAATTGCATGAATGGCGTTATACATACTTAACCATTTTATTGAGTCAATAAATATGCGAGTAAATATACCAGAAAATCCCGCCTAAGGATATGTGTGCATTAGGGTGGTAAAAAAAAAAAATAATCCGCAATTTTAATCCTCTCACCCCCTGGCATTGTTCAATATCGAAAAAATATACCCCTATTTTTTATTTTGAAAACAAAAAATATTTAGATGTCACTCGAAGCTCACAAAGAATTCTTAAAAATCAATATTTTTCGATCGGAAAACTCTGGTTCTCGTCAGGATTCTAGCAGCAGTAATACCCAAATGTTTATTTAAAAATTGTTTAATACCAACAATTGTTTATGGCCCCCCCATTGCATTTTCAGGGGTCTTAGGCGTACCTATAGAATATAGTTACTATGAAAAAATGGTTAAATAAATAATTGGGTATTCTTATTGCGCGTCTCCTGCAGATAAACAGAGTTTTCGATGGAAAAATATTGATTTTATAAATTTCTATACCATTTCTACGAAAAGTTGTTTTTCCTATATAAAATACATGGAAAACTTTGAGCGATCTCTAAATATTTTTTTATTACAAAAGTCAAAAAAAGAGGTATATTTTGTTGTTATGCCTTTTCGGACCACCCTAGTGTACATGCATATGAAAATAAATGTGGCTGTATGTCGGCTGTGAAATGCTCCACTTTCGTTTTCGTTTTCAAATATTACACTGTGCCAGTTGTGGTTGCCGGCCACTGTAGTCGAGTAGTTGGAAGTGCGTTCTTCCATCCGGTAGGACCAAGGTTCGATTACTTCTCCGAACCACATCAAAAACCTTTTTTCCTAAAAGTTGCACCCCCTCGGCAGGCAATGGCAAACCTCCCAGTGTACTTCTGCCATAACAAAGCTGCTCTTAAAAACCATTTGGAGTCTGTAGGATTGTAGGCTTATCAAAAATGTAGAAGCCAAATATTAAATTACTAAGTTGTGGTTGCCCATGCTTTAGTGTAATGGTGTTTGTGTGAATCCACAATAACTCCTTATAAGCACTTGACTGGCTTTCACTGGTTTGTGTACATCGCCTGCGGTAACGGAATTCAAATCAAGTCAATTTGATCAATCAACACAACTAACAAACAGTCGTGGGCTAGAAAAGTCACATTGCTGTAGGGCAAAGAAGAACTTTAACTTTTGTGCGTGTGTGTGTATATATGTGCAAAAATCATCATTTTGCGCCAGCTAGGGTTCACAAATTCATGAGCTGTTTACACACATAAATGCATACAAGGAAATAAAAGGCCAACTTTCACTTCGCAGTGCCTTTTATTTTACTTGCGTTCAAATGCGTTCATATGTTTGCCTTTTGGCGGTGGCACTGTTGCTCTACGCATTTTTTATTACATTTTTGAAGTCCTTTGTTTGACGGTTGTAATGTTTAATGCATAGCGTTGTACGTGGCTGGTAGTGCACTCTTAGGCGTTTTAACTGTACAGATGTGCATGAGTATTTATGTGAGTACACATGTGTATTAGCGGTCTACTGTTCGGTCTACCTATTTAAACACAAAATTTTGAGGCTATCCTTGAAGGCGCACATGCGTACACACATATAATTTAAGCAAAACACACAACAACAACAATTCAAACACTAATATACATATTAAATGGCCATTTTCAAACCACTCAACACTCCCTAGAGTGTGGGTTTAAGCTATAAGCTTTCAGCATTAACAGCATCGTTTCGCCGCTTAATATCACTGATTTGACATTTAACAGCCGGAAATGTATCCCCTTGCGGTAACTGGGTTGTTATTTACGAGCTTGTGTGTATTTATTTGTTCTTAACACTTCTTGTGTGCTAAGATGAGGCCACTCGCTAATTAGTGTGATTGTTTGACTTACAGCGATTGTTTGA